ATACAAACAGGGTAAATAATGTTTTATGTTTTGATTAAAAGATAGTTAACATTAAACGACAGCAAAATTCACAACATTTTTTTACAATAGTGCTCTCATTATAACGTTATGTATATGACAGTAGTTATTAATGTTCAGCATTTCTGTTTTGAGCTGCGCGCGATGAAGATGACCAGTAGAATTAAGCAGCAGGTTTTTAATCAATGGGATTTAACTCATCATTTATCTCATATAGAATATGCTTCATTATTTATACAACATAACGTTAATATTATGACTTATAGGCTATCTGCACAAAATGCCCCGAATGCACATGAACGTGTCTGTGCGGCTCTGAATGAACTCCTTTTGTGGACGCGTTCTTCATGCAACAACGTGCAGAAACACGGCAGCTAAACTAAAAATTCACAGCGTTTTATTATAATAGTGTTCTCATTATAATTGTTATGTTATGTATATGACAGTCCCAGTCATAGTTATTGATATTATGCATTGTTGTTTGTCCTGCTCGCGCTGAAGTGATAAACACCGTACAATGAAGCGCTTTACTGCAGCGCAACTCAACCAAATGCATCTTATACGAGACAAATAATATATACACAATATATATAAACCGACTGAAATGTTTTGAAATCACTTGTACCCTACCTAATCGAAAAATCCAGTCTTTCATTCTGCCTGTGCCAATTTGAGTCTTGTTAAAATTTTAAATCCCTGCCTCCAAGATGCTCCTCTGTCAGTCACAGATCATGGAAAGTGAATCTTAAATCTATAGGGGTGGTTGGATTTATTCACGCACGTTAAAATATTTCTTTTTCTTTTCAGATTCTTATTTACAGCATTATTTTAATAGACTGTATATTAACATTGGGAGAAAACCAGTAGTTCTATGTGAAATCAGACATTTGAGCACCCCCATATAGCCAAAATGGCATGATAATAACACCCCGGGAATATTCGACTGTGAGATTGGTATCGAATCAGGCTCCTCCTATCGAAACATCAAATCTTCAGCTACTCGGGGTCACCCCTAGTTCATACAAACACAAATGTTTGATCCGATTGGCAGATTTTTGTAATCACTATTGGTTTTATCAAACAACACCAAAGAGTACAGAGTACAAGAGTACAGAGGCAATATAGTCGGTTCTGGATTATTCCTCTGTTATTCACTGTGATTTAGCAACATATTCTGTTCGTGAGCTCCATGAAGTCATAAGTATGTACTACATACATATGTATGTAGCAGCACAAGCATTTCACCATTACATAAGTACAAGGAATAATAACCATACATTTTATTAAAGCATTTTTTTTTTCAGTAAAATTACACAATGGTGCCTTTCACACATACAGTCATGGCCAAAAGTTTTGGCAGTGACATAAATTGTGTTTTGCAAAGTTTGCTGCTTCAGTATTTGTAGATTATTTTTCCACATGTTTCTATAGTATACTGAAAAACAACGATATGCATATAAGTTTTTAAAGGCTTTTATTGGAAAAAAATATATATAATGAGTCAATATTTACAGTGTTGACCCTTGTTCTTCATAACCTCTGCAATTCTCTCTGGCATGCTGGATATTAGGTTCTGGGCCAAATCCTGACTGATGGCGATCCATTCTTGCCTTATTAGTTCTCGGAGTTGATACCCAACCCTACACAGCATGAGGCTGCTACCAGCACACTTTACTTTTGGGATGGTACTCTGCAGATGATGAGCAGAGTGGGTTTCCTTCAGACATGATGCTTAGAACTGAGATTCATCAGACCAGAGAATCTTGTTTCTCAGAGTCTGAGGGTCCTTTGGGTGCTGTTTTGCAAATTCCAAGTGTGTTTTCATGCGTCTTCACTGAGGAGAGTTTGGGCACACTGCCATAAAGCCCAGATCGGTGGAGTGTTGCTGTGATGTTTGTCCTTCTGTAGGTTTCTCCCATCTGCATATATGATCATTGAGCTCAAATAGAGTGCCTGGTTGTGCCAAACTTCTTCCATTTGAGAATTATGGAAGCCACTGTGCTCTTGGGAACCTTCAGTGCAGCAGATTTTTTTTTGTAGACTTCCCCAGATCTGTGCCTCGATACAATCCTGTCTCTGAGCTCTGCAGGCAGTTCCTTTGACCTCATGGCTTGGTTTTCGCTCTGATATGCATTGTCAGCTGTGAGACCTTTTATAGACAGGTGTGTGCCTTTCCAAATCATGTCCAATCAATTTAATTTACCACAGGTGGACTCCAATCAAGGAGTAGAAACATCTCAGCAGTGATCAAGAGAAATTGGAGGCACCTGAGCAAAATTTCATGTGTTGTTGCAAAGGGTCTGAATACATATGTAAATGTGATATTTCAGTTTTTTCTTTTTAATAAATTTACAGACATTTCTAAAATGTTCACGTTGTCATTATGAGGTATGGAGTGTCGATTAATGAGCAAAAATGAATTTAAACAATTGTAGTATCAGGCTGCACCATAAAATCGAAAAAAAGCGAAGGGGGTCTGAATACTTTCTGAATGCACTGTACTTTTCAATAAATCCTAATCCTGAGAGGAAAGTGTGGTAACCCAGCATCAAGCATTATGAATTTAATGTACTGAGTGTTTAATCCAGTGTTCTCTGTGTGTGTTTCCTCAAAGCCCCCGCTGATCATCAGTGCAGCACTTAGAAAGCGGAGATCTCCATCAGTATGCTGTGCTTCTCATCGTCTGTGAGGCTCACGTCGAGCCTTCGCAGGTACATCGGTGTGCAACGCTTGCCAAACTCATGCCCACTGCTGCAGCAACCCAGGCACAGCAGTACTGCAGTAAATAAGAGCACAGCGTCCTACAGCTATGTGATAGTCGGGGCTGGATCTGCAGGCTGTGTGCTGGCCAACCGTCTGGCAGAGAACGCCTCCGATTCGGTGCTCCTTCTGGAGGCGGGACCCAAAGACAAGCAGCTGGGAAGCACCCGTCTGTCCTGGAAGATTCACATGCCGGCTGCTCTGACCTATAACCTCTGCGACGACAAGTACAACTGGTTTTACCACACGCTACCTCAAGCGCACATGGACGGCAGGGTGATGTACTGGCCTCGTGGCCGCGTCTGGGGCGGCTCGTCGTCGCTCAATGCCATGGTGTACATTCGGGGGCACGCCGAGGACTACAACCGCTGGCAGAGCGAGGGGGCCGAGGGCTGGGGCTACGATCACTGTCTTCCGTACTTCCGCAAGGCCCAGACACATGAGCTGGGAGCAGACCGATATCGAGGGGATGACGGCCCACTGCATGTGACGCGAGGAAAAACCAGTCACCCTCTGCACCACACATTCATCGAAGCGGGCCAGCAAGCCGGATACCCCTTCACGGATGACATGAACGGATTCCAGCAGGAAGGAGTGGGCTGGATGGATATGACCATCCACAGAGGTGAACGTTAGGAAATTAAATTAGGGCTGGCTAATGAATTAACTAATGTTAACTAATGAAGCCCTAATGTAAAGTGTGACCGAACAATAAAGAATCAAAACACTTTCAAACAATATCTAGGGCATGCTGTAGTCCAGATTAAAATGTAAAAAAGTTTGAAAATAAATAGCCTATTAAGTCTAAATATTTAAGTATTTGGTGCTGTGATGAACACTATAGTGAATACAAACATCTGAATGGCTATTTTATTCATTTAAACACATTTTAGAAACAGAAAGTAGCGCAGCTGCTTTATTTACAGGGTTTCTGGGGTTACGGCTGCATTTCTGCTGTTCAGCGCCATCTGCTGTCAGAGAGTGAATCTGTTTTATCCAGAGCGTCTCTCTCGCGCTCCGCCATGTGCTTCTTATCCATGCTTGTTTACATCAGAGTGCACACGCGTCTTTGACGCAGCATACAGCGGGGTTGTGCATTGTGACCAGTTGATGGGGAAAAGTATTCTTAAAATGCATTCAAAATTCTGAATAATTTGTTATAAATAATTATTCTCTGTATTTTGAAGTGCCCACGAACATTATCGTGCATGTTCATTATCGTGATATATCGCATAACTGAATACTGGCACATGTATAATCATCATAAATGACAGGAACAAATAAACACACGCGAAACTCCATTGCTGCCCCGGAAAAACAAACTGCATCCACTGTTCACACTGGGTTCTTTGGGAAGCTGAACAAGCTTATCTTTCCCTTACAACCAAAACACACTTCTTTGGATACATTCTTCTTGAGTGAGTCTTGTGCAGCGCTGCCGACGACGTTGATGGGTGCTCTTGCTATCGCTCTGGGCTGTGTTTCCCAAAAGCATCATAAGCCTAAGTTGATCGTAGCTCCATTGGTTTCAATGGGTCTATGATGTACTTAAGCTTACGATGCTTTTGGGAAACGCAGCCCCAGCGCATGCTCTTCTGGGAGAAGTTCCCATACAAACAATTCTGCCTTTTATGATGAGCCATCAGTCATGAAGAGCCATGCTCAGAAAAACTTTCCAAAACTTATATGAACCCAGAAAGAGTGTATTTGGCACAGAAATACTCCGTCATACGTCCAAATCGTTGGCCAACTTTGGCCATGTTTAGCATGACAATCCAAATCCAAACTGCATTAGACCCCCCTTTAACCCCTGGGTTATCAATGTTTTAAACACTGTGGTTAGGGGAAAATGCAAACATGTCAAAATGCCTCATTAATTGGAGTGAAGAACAGTCAAGGAATTTTCTGTATCACACAGCAGAGCATGTAAACCTTTCAAAGTATGCTACATTGGTCGTGATTTGACTTTTTATGTGCACTACCTAATGGAAGCTTCTAGCTTTTAATCACACACACATGAAGCAGAATGTGGATGAGCAAAGTATACTTAGGCTTTGTGTTTCTAAATAAACTTGTCTTGCTAATTTCATTACAAACTGGATAGTGCAGTCAGGAATATATAAGCCTGCCATTAACAGTTTTAAGTGGGAAAAGCCCTTAAAGGAGTAGTTCACCCAAAAATGAAAATTTGCTGTTATTTTACTCGCCCTCAGGCCATCCCAGTCAAAAAAGCATATACAGGCAAGACAAAATTATTATCCGTGGCTCGTGAAGATATATTGAGGTCTTATAAAGTGAAATGGTTGTTCTGTGAGAGAAATTGTGTATACGTGATAGGGCTGCACGATAAATCGCATGCGATATTTAACGCGCATCTTG